GATGGATGGGCACAGACTTTAGCTAGATAGATAGATAGATAGATATGCAAATGTGAGTAGATCAATAGGTACCACTTTGGTGGGAAAGTAACGGCACTCCATGCAGTCATGCTGGCCACATGACCTTGGAGGTGTCTACGGACAACGCAGGCTCTTCGGTTTAGAAATGGAGGACCTTTATCTAGGTAAATGGATAGATAGATAGATGATAGATAGATAGATAGATAGATAGATAGATAGATAGATAGATAGAAGGATGGATGGATGGATGGATGGATGGATGGATGGATGGATGGATGACTGGATGTTTGCGCACAGACTTTAGCTAGATAGATAGATAGATAGATAGATAGATATGCAAATGTGAGTAGATCAATAGGTACCACTTTGGTGGGAAAGTAACGGCACTCCATGCAGTCATGCTGGCCACATGACCTTGGAGGTGTCTACGGACAACGCAGGCTCTTCGGTTTAGAAATGGAGGACCTTTATCTAGGTAAATGGATAGATAGATAGATGATAGATAGATAGATAGATAGATAGATAGATAGATAGATAGAAGGATGGATGGATGGATGGATGGATGGATGGATGGATGGATGGATGGATGGATGGATGACTGGATGTTTGCGCACAGACTTTAGCTAGATAGATAGATAGATAGATATGCAAATGTGAGTAGATCAATAGGTACCACTTTGGTGGGAAAGTAACGGCACTCCATGCAGTCATGCTGGCCACATGACCTTGGAGGTGTCTACGGACAATGCCGGCTCTTTGGCTTAGAAATGGAGATGAGCACCAGAGTCCAAGAGTCGGACACGACTGGACTTCATGTCAGGGGAAAACCTTTAAGCAATCACAGGCTGAACAGTCTGATACACAACGTTCAGCAACCTACAAATCCCAGGATTGTGTATTTTACAAAATCAAAATGCCATCAAAGCAACCTGCCGTCGCGTGAATGCATCCAAAGTGCCTTTTAAATCTACACGTTGTAAAGGGCCAAGAACGAGAAGGGCTGGGTGCGACTTGGGAGGGATGAATCAACTTAATCCGTACTATAGTTTCCTGCCATTTCGAAAGGGCAGAAAGGGCAGCGCAATCCCTTCGCCCGCGCCTCTTTGCGCTGAGAATTCCAGATAGACAGGTTGGTGACTACGCTATGTCGTCATCATCATCCCTACCTGCGGAAATGCAGCGTGAGAAGAAGAGAAGCTGAGATTTTGGCAGGCATTCTGCATTCTTGTTACCGGGAGACGGTGACGGTGGACTGGCTAATTCATGCAAATTTAGTTACGAATAATTAACAACTCTTGAATATATGATTATCCCATTGACTTGCCCACAGATATGTCATACTTTCACTTGAAGAAAGGTTGAATAGGCTTCTTAATTATGCGTTCATATTAAGGGATTGGGGAAATTGTCGTTACGTGACCTTGGATTTGGGAGTTGTAGTTCACCTCCATCCAGAGAGCACTGTGGACTCAAACAAAGATGGATCTGGACTAAACATGGCACCAATACTCAACATGCCCAAATGTGAACACTGATGGAGTTTGGTGAAAATAGGCCTTGTCAATTGGGAGTTGTAGTTGCTGGGATTTATAGTTCACCTACAATCAAAGAGCATTCTGAACTCTACCAACGATGGCATTGAAGCAAACTTGACACACAGAACTCCCATGTCCAACAGAAAATCCTGGAAGGGTTGGGTGTGCATTGACATTGAATTTGGGAGTTGTAGTTCCCCTGCCATCCAGAGAGTACTGTGGACTCAAACAATGATGGATCTGGACTAAACATGGCACCAATATTCAATATGCCCAAATGTGAACACTGATGGAGTTTGGTGAAAACAGACCTTGTCAATTGGGAGTTGTACGTGCTGGGATTTTTAGTTCACCTACCATCAAAGAGCATTCTGAACTCTACCAACGATGGCATTGAAGCAAACTTGGCACACAGAACTCCCATGACCAACAGAAAATCCTGGAAGGGTTGTAGTTGGGAGTTGTAGTTGCTGGGATTTATAGTTCACCTACCATCAAAGAGCATTATGAATTCCACCAATGAATGAACTGAACCAAACTTGGCACACAGAACTCCCATGACCAACAGAAAATACTGGAAGGGTTTGGTGGGCATTGACCTTGAGTTTGGGAGTTGTAGTTCACCTACATCCAGAGAGCACTGTGGACTCAAAACAATGATGGATCTGGACCAAACATGGCACCAATGTTCAATATGCTCAGATGTGAACAATTATGGAGTTTGGTGAAAACAGACCTTGTCAATTGGGAGTTTACTTGCTGGGATTTATAGTTCACCTACAACCAAAGAGCATTCTGAACTCTACCAATGATGGCATTGAACCAAGCTTGGCACACAGTACTCCCTTGACCATCAGAAAATCCTGGAAGGGTTGGGTGTGCATTGACATTTAATTTGGGAGTTGTAGTTCACTCACATCCAGAGAGCACTGTGGACTCAAACAATGATGGATCTGGATCAAACATGGCACCAATATTCAATATGCCCAAATGTGAACACTGATGGAGTTTGGTGAAGATAGACCTTGTCAATTGGGAGTTGTACGTGCTGGGATTTATAGTTCACCTACAATCAAAGAGCATTCTGAACTCTACCAACGATGGCATTGAACCAAACTTGGCACACAGAACTCCCATGACCAACAGAAAATACTGGAAGGGTTTGGTGTGCATTGACATTGAATTTGGGAGTTGTAGTTCACCTACATCCAGAGAGCACTGTGGACTCAAACAATGATGGATCTGGATCAAACATGGCACCAATATTCAATATGCCCAAATGTGAACACTGATGGAGTTTGGTGAAAATAGACCTTGTCAATTGGGAGTTGTAGTTGCTGGGATTTATAGTTCACCTACAATCAAAGAGCATTCTGAACTCTACCAACGATGGCATTGAAGCAAACTTGGCACACAGAACTCCCATGACCAACAGAAAATCCTGGAAGGGTTGTAGTTGGGAGTTGTAGTTGCTGGGATTTATAGTTCACCTACCATCAAAGAGCATTATGAATTCCACCAATGAATGAACTGAACCAAACTTGGCACACAGAACTCCCATGACCAACAGAAAATACTGGAAGGCTTTGGTGTGCATTGACATTGAATTTGGGAGTTGTAGTTCACCTACATCCAGAGAGCACTGTGGACTCAAACAATGATGGATCTGGACCAAACATGGCACCAATATTCAATATGCTCAGATGTGAACAATTATGGAGTTTGGTGAAAACAGACCTTGTCAATTGGGAGTTTACTTGCTGGGATTTATAGTTCACCTACAACCAAAGAGCATTCTGAACTCTACCAATGATGGCATTGAACCAAGCTTGGCACACAGTACTCCCTTGACCATCAGAAAATCCTGGAAGGGTTGGGTGTGCATTGACATTTAATTTGGGAGTTGTAGTTCACTCACATCCAGAGAGCACTGTGGACTCAAACAATGATGGATCTGGATCAAACATGGCACCAATATTCAATATGCCCAAATGTGAACACTGATGGAGTTTGGTGAAATAGACCTTGACATTGGAGTTGTAGTTGCTGGGATTTATAGTTCACCTACAATCAAAGAGCATTCTGAACTCCAATGATGGAATTGAACCAAACTTGGCACACAGAACTCCCATGACCACAGAAAATACTGGAAGGGTTTGGTGGGCATTGACTAGAAGTTTGGGAGTTGTAGTTCACCTACATCCAGAGAGCACTGTGGACTCAAACAATGATGGATCTGGACAAACTTGGCACAAATATTCTATATGTCCAAATGTGAACAATTATGGAGTTTTGTGAAAACAGACCTTGTCAATTGGGAGTTGTAGTTGCTGGGATTTATAGTTCACCTACAATCAAAGAGCATTCTGAATTCTACCAACAATGGCATTGAACCAAACTTGGCACACAGAACTCCCATGACCAACAGAAAATACTGGAAGGGTTTGGTGTGCATTGACATTGAATTTGGGAGTTGTAGTTCACCTATATCCAGAGAGTACTGTGGACTTGCTGGGATTTATAGTTTATGGTTCACCTACAATCAAAGAGCATTCTGAACTCCACCAATGATGGAATTCAACCAAACATGGCACTCAGGACTCCCATGACCACAGAAAATACTTGAAGGATTTGGTGGGCATTGAGTTTGTGTTTGGAAGTTGTAGTTCACCTACATCCACTTTCTCAAACAATGATAGATCTGGACCAACCTTGGCACAACTACGCAATATGCCTGTTCCACTCCAGACCAGGAAACGCCCTCTGACTTTAAACACCACAGAGCTAAGTAGATATGCCATCCGTTTATTGAAGATAATTAAAAAGCAGTAAAGTGCAAAGCACTTTAAAGGAATAGGTAAATCCAATTAGGTAGGAAGATAAACCGGAACAAAATAGTCCAGGGTATTAGTCCATCAAAGTCATAGAATCATAGAATCATAGAGTTGGAAGAGACCTCATGGACCATCCAGTCCAACCCCCTGCCAAGAAACAGGAATGTTGCATTCAAAGCACCCCCGACAGATGGCCATCCAGCCTCTGTTTAAAAGCTTCCAAAGAAGGAGCCTCCACCACACTCCGGGGCAGAGAGTTCCACTGCTGAACGGCTCTCAGAGTCAGGAAGAATTGGGCCAAACTTCCCACACAGAACCCCCATGCCTTGAAGGGGCTTGTTGACATGAGCCTCCCTCCAGCCTCACACGCTCTCCCTCGCTTGCGCTCCCTTCTCCTCTTCGAATCTCAGAAACGTCAGGAGAGAATGCTTCTAGAACATGACCATATAGCCTGAAAAACCTACAACAACCTAGTGATTCCTGCCATGAAAGCCTTCGACAATACAATAGTGACCTACCTATGAATTAGACAAAGGAAGAGGTAAAAACAAAGAAGGCATTGTCGTATACACAATAAGATAGCCACCACACAGAAGCTTATCGTACTTACTTTTCCAGGGATATACTGGAGTATCTTGTCGGAGGTGACATCCCTCTCCTGCCCTGGTTCGAAACCAAAAAGGCCGGCTAGTTTCTTCTTACTGTCTTGTCTGGAAAGCAATAAAAGGGAAATAACATAGTTGAGATCAAGGCGAGCAAACAAAGCCAATCAGGAAAGGCATGGGGTGAAATCTGTAACGGGATCACAAGGCTCTTAGGAGGCCAACAGGAACCAAAAGAGGTGTCGTTGGCTCCCCCCCCCCCCACCCTTTGTTTGATTTGCTCCGTCCGCAAAAATGCTTACTGAGCACTTCTCTAATAAGTTGGCAGCTTAGAAGGTCTATTTATCAAAATGCACTGTTTAAACTTCCAAATGTCAAGGTCTATTTTCCCCAAACTCCACCATTGTTCACATTTGGGAATATTGAGTTTTTGCACCAAGTTTGGTCCAGATCCATTATTGTTTGAGTCCACAGTGCTCTCTAGATCTAGGTGAACTACAACTCCCAAACTCAATATTAATGCCCACCAAACCCTTCCAGTATTTTCTGCTGGTCATGGGAGTTCTGTGCGCCAAGTTTGGTTCAATTCCATCGTTGGTGGAGATCAGAATGCTCTTTGATTGTAGGTGAACTATAAATCCCAGCAACTACAACTCCCAAATGTCAAGGTCTATTTTCCCCCAAACTCCACCAGTGTTCACATTTGGGCATATTGAGTATTCGTGCCAGTTTGGTCCAGATCCATCATTGTTTGAGTCCACAGTGCTCTCTAGATATAGGTGAACTACAACTCCCAAACTCAAGGTCAATGCCCACCAAACCCTTCCAGTATTTTCTGCTGGTCATGGGAGTTCTGTGTAGCAAGTTTGGTTCAAGTCCGTCGTCACTGGAAATCAGAATGCTCTTTGATTGTAGGTGAACTATAAATCCCTGCAACTACAACTCCTAATTGACAAGGTCTATTTTCCCCAAATTCCACCATTGTTCACATTTGGGTATATATTGAGTATTTGTGCCAAGTTCAGTCCAGATCCATCATTGTTTGAGTCCACAGTGCTCTTTGGATGTAGGGCCACTACAACTCCCAAACTCAAGGTCAATGCCCACCAAACCCTTCCAATATTTTCTGTTGGTCGTGGGAGTTCTGTGCACCAAGTTTGGTTCAATTCCATCGTTGGTGGAGATCAGAATGCTCTTTGATTGTAGGTGAACTATAAATCCCAGAAATCCCAAATGTCAAGGTCTATTTTCCCCAAACTCCACCAGTGTTCACATTTGGGCATATTGAGTATTTGTGCCAAGTTCGGTCCAGATCCATCATTGTTTGAGTCCACAGTGCTCTTTGGATGTAGGTGAACTACAACTCCCAAACTCAAGGTCAATGCCCACCAAACCCTTCCATATTTTCTGTTGGTATGGGAGTTCTGTGTGCCAAGTTTGGTTCAATTCCATTGTTGGTGAAGTTCAGAATGCTCTTTGATTGTAGGTGAACTATAAATCCCAGCAACTACAACTTTCAAATGACAAAATAAATCCTCCCCAACCCCACCAGTGTTCACATTTGGGCATATGACATAATCGTGCCAAGTTTGGTCCAGATCCATCATTGTTTGAGTCCACAGTGCTCTCTAGATGTAGGTGAACTACAACTCCCAAACTCAAGGTCAATGCCCACCAAACCCTTCCAGGATTTTCTGTTGGTCGTGGGAGTTCTGTGTGCCAAGTTTGGTTCAATTCCATATGTTGGAGTTCAGAATGCTCTTTGATTGTAGGTGAACTATAAATCCCTGCAACTACAACTTCCAAATGTCAAGCTCTATTTTCCCCCAAACTCCTCCAGTGCCAAGTTTGGTCCAGATCCATCATTTTGGTTCAATTCCATCATTAGTGGAGTACAGAATGTTCTTTTATTGTAGGTGAACTATAAATCCCTGCAACTACAACTCCCAATTGGCAAGTTCTCTTTTCAACAAACTCCATCAGTGTTCACATTTGGGAATATTGAGTATTGGTGCCATGTTTGGTCCAGATCCATCTTTGTTTGAGTCCACGGTGCTCTCTGAATGTAGGTGAACGACAACTCCCAAACTCAAGGCCAATGCCCACCAAACCCTTCCAGGATTTTCTCTTGGTCGTGGGAGTTCTGTGTGCCAAGTTTGGTTCAAGTCCATCGTTGGTGGGGTTCATAATGCTGTCTGATTGTAGGTGAACTATACATCCCAGCAACTACAACTCCCAAATGACAAAATCAATAACCCAACCAGCATTCAAATTATCACATGTCTCTGCTTCTCAGCAAAAGAATGTGCAAGGTGGTGACTTTGAAGGCTTTGTTTACAAAGTCGTGTTAGGATAAGAAATACCTCCTTGCGTACCGGAGCGGATCAGAATAGTGTGACTAAAATACCAGAAAATTTGACAAAAATCTGTGACTATAAAAAAAATATGCAGCATCAACGAAAACAATGCGCTCACAGCCCATGCGTACAAAATCATGTGAGTTGTAGCATTGTAAGGATAGAGTGTTAGCCATGGGGGTATATTGATACAGAATCTTTATATATATATAATAAAAGTGAACGTTTGAATGTGGGTATGTATGTGGCAACATTCTGATTGGTTGCCACTGTGGTACAATTTGCATATGGTCTCCGATTGCCCAGCCTCAACATTCCAACATTCTTTGGTGGCAGAGAGGCGAAAAGTAAGGGTCTGAGGCTGTCGGGACCAAGCCAATGACGGATCAGGACCAAACTTGGCACACAGAGGCCCAATGGCCCACTTTACAACCTGGTGTGGATGGGCCGCGAATGATGGGATTTGTAGTACCTTCACCCAATTCACTTCCCACAGAACATTGTAGCCCCTACAAATCACAGACCAGGCCCAGAGTACTCATGAACCACTCTACATCCTGAAGTAGTTCTAAGGGGATGGACCATGGATGATGGGACTTGCAGTATCTTTACTCACTTACTGAAACCACTGCGACACTGAACCAATGACTGATCAAGACCAAACTTGGCACACAGAGCCCCCATGACCATATCTACATCCTGTTTCAGTTTGGAGGAGGGTTGATCATGGATGATGAGACTTGTAGGACCTTCACTCACTTACTGAAACCACTGCAACCTTAATCCAATGACTGATCAAGACCAAACTTGGCACACAGAGCGCCCATGACAAACTCTATATCCTGCTGCAGTTTGGAGGAGGGTGGACCATGGATGATGGGACTTGCAGTACCGCCACTCACTTTCTGAAACCACTGCGACCCTCATCCAATGAGCAATAAAGACCAAACTCGGCACACAGAGCCCCCATGACACACTCTACATCCTGCTGCAGTTTGGAGGAGGGTGAACCACGGATGATGGGACTTGCAGTACCTTCACTCACTTCCTGAAAACAATGCGACCCTCATCCAATAACCAATAAAGACCAAACTTGGCACACAGAGCCCCCATGACAGACTATATCCTGCTGCAGTTTGAAGGAGGGTGGACCATGGATGATGGGACTTGGCAGTACCTTCACTCACTTACTGAAACCACTGCCACCCTCATCGAATGACTGATAAAGACCAAACTTAGCACACAGAGTCCCCATGACAGACTATATCCTGCTGCAGTTTGGAGGAGGGTGGACCATGGATGATGGGACTTGCAGTACCGCCACTCACTTACTGAAACCACTGCCACCCTCATCCAATGACTGATCAAGACCAAACTTGGCACACAGATCCCCCATGACAGACTATATCCTGCTGCAGTTTGAAGGAGGGTGGACTTTGCATGATGGGACTTGCAGTACCTTCACTCACTTACTGAAACCACTGCAACCTTAATCTAATGACTGATCAAGACCAAACTTGGCACACAGAGCACCCATGACAGACTCTATATCCTGCTGCAGTTTGGAGGAGGGTTGACCATGGGTGATGGGACTTGCAGTACCTTTACTCACTTACTGAAACCACTACAACCCTCATCCAATGACCAATAAAGACCAAACTTGGCATACAGAACTCCCATTACCCACTTTCTCTAATAACCCGGGCACTGTCCCCATGGTAGTATATAAATAATATATAAACGAGGCCTCAGTTCGCCTCAGTCTGAAAGAGCCCTCTGTGAGAAGGCCTCAGTGGGAAAAAGGCCTCCATGTTAGTAGGCCTCAGTTCAAATGTGATTTTCCTGCTTCTTGGCAGAATGTACCATCTTAAATCATGCCGCATCGCAGATATTGCTAATTCAATGTGTTGTTGAAGGCTTTCGTGGCCGGAATCACTGGGTTGTTATAGTTTTTCGGGCTGTATGGCCATGTTCCAGAAGCATTCTCTCCTGACGTTTCACCTGCATCCAAATAATTTTTTGTTGGGTTATTGTAAGTTTTTCCGTCTCTATGGCCATGTTCTAGAAGCATTCTCTCCTAGAGAGAAACTCAAGGACTCAAGGAAATCCCGACCATTAATAGTCTAGCTTGCTGTTGACCTATACAGTTTGCATTGGTCAAGTAGGAAATTTAGGTACCACTTTATGTGGGGGGGGGGGCTAATTTAACTAATTTAGGAGATTTAACTAATCTAGGAGAGAATGCTTCTAGAACATGACCATACAGGCCCAAAAAAGCTACAACAACCCAGTATAGTCTAGCTTGCTGTTGACCTATGCAGCCCAAAAGACAGTTGCATCTGTCAAGTAGGAAATTTAGATACCACTTTATGTGGGAGGCGGGGGCTAATTTAACTAATTTAGGAGAGTTAACTAATCTAGGAGAGAATGCGAGTTCCTTCAAGACATGGGGGTTCTGTGTGGGAAGTTTGGCCCAATTCTATCATTGGCGGAGTTCAGAGTGATCTTTGATTGTAGGTGAACTATAAATCCCAGCGACTACAACTCCCAATTGACAAGGTCTATTTCCCCCAAACTCTAGCTGTGTTTGCATTTTGGCATATTGAGTACTTGTGCCAAGTTTGGTCCAAATCCATCATTGTTTGAGTCCATAGTGCTCTCTGGATCTAGGTGAACTACAACTCCAAAACTCAACGTTGGTGCCCATCAAGCCTTTCCAGTACTTTTTCTTGGTCATGGGAGTTCTGTGTGCCAAGTTTGGCCCAATTCTATCATTGGTGGGATTCAGAATGCTCTGATTGTAGGTGAACTATAAATCCCAGCAACTACAACTCCCAAATGCCAAGGTCTATTTTCCCCAAACTCCACCAGTGTTCACATGATGGACCTGGACCAAACTTGGCACAAAGAACCTCCATAAGTAACTCAATCTACTGGAGGAGTCTGATGGAACCGACGCCCTATAGTGGGAGTTGTAGTTCATCCTACAGCTAGGGAACACACTGAACCCCACCAATGATGGACCTGGACCAAACTTGGCGCACAGAACCCCCATGACTAACTCCACCTTCTGGAGGGGTTTGAGGGGACTGACTCACCAAAGTGAGAGTTGTAGTTTACACCTTAATTAACCCCTTTGCTTGGGAACACAAAGGTCAACTCAACCTGAGCTACTACCAACCAGCCCGACCTGGACCAAACTTGGCACACAGAACCCCCACCTTCTGGAGGGGTTTGAGGGGACTGACTCCCCAAAGTGGGAGTTGTAGTTTACTCTGCAACCAGAGAGTACACTGAACCCCACCCATGATGGACCTGGACAAAACTTGGCACACAGACCCTCCATAACTAAATCAATCTACTGGAGGAGCCTGATGGAACTGACGCCCCATACTGGGAGTTGTAGTTCACCCTACAGCTAGGGAACACACTGAACCCCACCAATGATGGACCTGGACCAAACTTGGCACACAGAACCCCCATCTTCTGAAGGGGTTTGAGGGGATTGACTCCCCAAAGTGGGAGTTGTAGTTTATCCTGCAACCAGAGAGCACACTGAACCCCTTGCTTGGGAACACAAAGTTCAAACCCAACCTGAGCTACTATCAACCAACCCGACCTGGACCAAACTTGGCACACCCCCCCCCCCCAGCTTCTGAAGAGGTTTGAGGGGACTGGCTCACCAAAGTGGGAGTTGTAGTTTACTCTGCAACCAGAGAGCACACTGAACCCCTTGCTTGGGAACACAAAAGTCAACCCAACCTGAGTTACTACCAACCAACCCGACCTGGACCAAACTTGGCACACAGGACCCCCACCTTCTGAAGGGGTTTGAGGGACTGACTCCCCAAAGTGGGAGTTGTAGTTTACTCTGCAACCAGAGAGCACACTGAACCCCTTGCTTGGGAACACAAAGGTCAACCTAACCTGAGCTACTACCAACCAACCTGACCGGGACCAAACTTGGCACCCCCCCAGCTTCTGAAGGGGTTTGAGGGACTGACTTCCCAAAGTGGGAGTTGTAGTTTACTATGCAACCAGAGAGCACACTGAATCCCACCCATGATGGACCTGGACCAAACTTGGCACACAGACCCTCCATAACTAACTCAATCTACTGGAGGAGCCTGACGGAACTGACACTCCATAGTGGGAGCTGTAGTTCACCGTACAGCTAGGGAACACACTGAACCCCACTAATGTTGGACCTGGACCAAACTTGGCACACAGAACCCCCACCTTCTGAAGGGATTTGAGGGGACTAAATCACCAAAGTGGGAGTTTTAGTTTACCCTGCATCCAGAGAGCACACTGAACCCCACCAGAACTGACGCCCCATAGTGGGAGTTGTAGTTCACCCTACAATTAGGGAACACACTGAACCCCACCAATGATGGACCTGGACCAAACTTGGCACACAGAACCCCCACCTTCTGGAGGGGTTTGAGTGAACTGACTCACCAAAGTGGGAGTTGTAGTTTACCCTGCATCCAGAGAACACACCGAACCCCACCGGAACTGACGCCCCATAGTGGGAGTTGTAATTCACCCTACAGCTAGGGAACACACTGAACCCCACCAATGATGGACCTGGACCAAACTTGGCACACAGAACCCTCACCTTCTGAAGGGGTTTGAGGGGACTGACTCACCAAAGTGGGAGTTGTAGTTTACAACCAGAGAGCACACTGAACCCCACCGACGAGTTGTGGTTCCCAATCTTCCTAATTCCTAATCTATGAGAACTTCTCACGGTTGTTCGAAAGGGACTCGCCCGATTTTTCTCCCTTCGGGACGACCCAAGACGAAAAATCCCTTTGTAAGAAAAACTAGACAAAGAAGTGTTCCAAAGGCCCTTTCGGGCACGATACTCACTCTTTCCTGAGCGAGGGCTTCCTCGAAAAGGAATATCTGAGCCTCCCAGAGGCGTGGGGAACACAAGCCATGTTCCCCATGTTGTTGCGGGTGGTTCAAGCGCCTGCTCCACGACTCTCTAATCCAGGAACAGCTGGGCAGCAGAGCACAGAAGCCAAGGGAGGAGGCCAAAAGAAAGAGGAGGAGAGAGTGTTTTCCTTCCCAGCCTAAGCAAGGCAGGCAGAGGAGGTGTGCGTTTGTGTGTCAGCGTGTGGATCTATCGATGTGTCACTCAGACATTCCCCACTTCCTCCTGCCAGGGTGACTCTTTGGGGTGTGTAAGCTGGGAATCAACAGGCTTTCTTCGCCCAAGGCGGTTGGCTTGGCCGACTTCTCCTCCTCCTCTTTGGCTTTGCTTTGTCTCTATCACACAAAGCCGGGACACTCGAGGAGCAACTGGAGGGACAGACTCTCCCCTTCCTCCAGGCACGACCCCCCACCCCAAAAAAAAAATATCCCAGATACAGGGACTCCTTGCCGGTTTCACCTGTAGCTAGCCAAACAAAGGAAGGCCAAGGGAGTTTCGTCCAAAGGTGTGATTCAGGTTTTGTGTCTCGCTCTTGCTGACTTTGCAACTCAAAACAAAGCCTGCTCTACTCTTAGGTGGAAGAGAAGGGAAACACAACATGTGGAGCGGAAAGTAGAAAAGTGACTTGGTGTCTGACCGCCTCCTTATATTCCAGAAGCATTCTCTTCTGATGTTTCGCCTCCATCGATGGCAGGCCTCCTCCGAGGTTGTGAGGTCTGTTGGAAACTAGGAAAATTGGGTTTATATATCTCTGGAATGATGTCCAGGGTGGGAGAATGGACTCTCAAGTGTGAATGTTGACATTTCCAATTTACATTATCGAAGGCTTTCTCTGCGTCGAGGGCCAGGAACATCACTTTCTTTTGGTTATTAATTTCATAGTATTCAATCAAATCTGTTATTATTCTAACATTTTCCTTCTGTTGTCTGTTCGGCAAGAATCCTGATTGTTCTTCCTTAATTCTTGTCTTGAGCAAATTTTTAAGTCTTTCTGCAATCACAAAGCTAAATATTTTATAATCTAAGTTCAGCAACGAAATGGGCCTATAATTTTTGACTCTTTCTGGATCAGTATTTTCTTTATGTATCACTGAAATGTTTGCTTGTCGCCATGAATTTTGTATTTCTTTGGATTCTCTGACCTTAGTCATAATTTTTTTCAAATACGGTGTTAGTTCTTCTTGAACATTGGCCAGTTTGATTACCATCCCAACAAAGGATGCCCCTAGGCAGGAGGGCTTTGATTACGTTTCCTTGTCCCGGTGAAGGGAGTTGGACTGGATGGCCTTAAGTATTTTCTGTCTGCCAAGTTGAGTTCAATTCCATCATTGGTGGAGTCCAGAATGCTCTTTGATTGTAGGTGAACTGTAAATCCCAGAAACTACAACTCCCAAATGTTAAGGTCTATTTCCCTCAAACTCCATCTGTGTTCATATTTGGGCATGTGGGATATCCATGCCAAGTTTGGTCCAGATCCATCATCGTTTGAGTCCACAGTGCTCTCTGGATGTAGGTGAACTACAACTCCCAAACTCAAGGTCAATACCCACCAAACCCTTGTAGTGTTTTCTGTTGGTCATGGGAGTTCTGTGTGCCAAGTTTGGTTCAGTTCCATCATTGGTGGAGTTCAGAATGCTCTTTGATTGTAGGTGAACTATAAATCCTAGCAACTACAACTCCCAAACTCAAAGTTAATGCCCACCAAAGCCTTGTAGTGTTTTCTCTTGGTCATGGGAGTTCTGTGTGACACGTTTGGTTCAATTCCATCGTTGGTGGAGATCAGAATGTTCTTTGAGTGTAGGTGAACTATAAATCCTAGCAACTACAACTCCCAAACTCAAGGTCAATACCCACCAAACCCTTCTAGTGTTTTCTGTTGGTCATGGGAGTTCTGTGTGCCAAGTTTGGTTCAGTTCCATCGTTGGTGGAGATCAGAATGCTCTTTGAGTGTAGGTGAACTATAAATCCTAGCAACTACAACTCCCAAACTCAAAGTTAATGCCCACCAAAGCCTTGTAGTGTTTTCTCTTGGTCATGGGAGTTCTGTGTGACACGTTTGGTTCAATTCCATCGTTGGTGGAGATCAGAATGCTCTTTGAGTGTGGATGTAGATGAACTACAACTCCCAAACTCAAGGTCAATGCCCACCAAACCCTTGTAGTGTTTTCTGTTGGTCTGGGAGTCCTGTGTGCCAAGTTTGGTTCAATCCATCGTTGGTGGAGTTCAGAATGCTTTTGATGTAGGTAACTATAAATCACAGCAACTACAACTCCCAAACTCAAGGTCAATGCCCACCAAACCCTTGTAGTGTTTTCTGTCGGTCATGGGAGTCCTGTGTGCCAAGTTTGGTTCAATTGCATCGTTGGTGGAGATCAGAATGTTCTTTGAGTGTAGGTGAACTATAAATCCTAGCAACTACAACTCCCAAACTCAAGGTCAATGCCCACCAAACCCTTCTAGTGTTTTCTGTTGGTCATGGGAGTTCTGTGTGACACGTTTGGTTCAATTCCATCGTTGGTGGAGTTCAGAATGCTCTTTGGTTGTAGATGAACTATACATCCCAGTAACTACAACTTGCATATGTCAAGGTCTATTTCCCCCCAAGAGCGCCTCAAGAGCGCCCCCTGGGCAAAATCAACTCTACCGCGAATGCTTACTTCACGTAATGGTTGCGCCGCCCCTGTCGGAGTCCCATCCCAGGGTGGCTAGTTTGCAGAAGCAAGGCATGATGGGCTATTCCTTTGCTTCAAGGGATGCCCGACTCATTTCCGCAGAAGATGATTCAGAATTCTCATCGGATGGGAACTCCAGTCTTGTTAGTCTGCAAAAACAAGCATGCGAGGTGCACACTTGGGCTTTGGAGGCTTCTGCAAGCACGAAGCTCTTCGCATGGTCAGCTGAGGAAGGACGAGGCGAGCATCTCTACGAATCGAAGAAGGCCGAGGGGAGGATAAGTAAAGTTACTTTTTGAAAGTTTTTCTTTAAAGCTCTTTTCAACAGCCCAGGTTGAGGTCGAACCCAGAACTCCCTGCCTTCAAGCTGATCTGACCTGCAGCAGGGAGTTCCTCAGTTCTCCACTGACCCGCTTGGGCCAACCTGTATGAACGCGGCCACAGCAGCAGTTGCAACTCAGAAGCCTTCTTATTACTTCGCTTTCTTCCTCCTCCTATCATTGTAATTAATCCCCCCAATAAAAGGATCAATTAAGTAATTATCAATTAATTAATCAATTAACCTTTTCCCTCTCCATAGTGTTATTTTGTATCCTTTTATTGCCTCTAACCTCTGTCTGCATGAACCTTTCCTCCCCTGCGCTGCAGATGGCTGCCGGTCCACCCGGGATGTGATTTCCCCTAAACCGTGGATACGGAAACCCATTGGAAAATTAGGAAAAATCTTGGGTGGCTGCCGGTCTGCCAAGGATGTGATTTCCTTTAAACCGCGGATACGGAAACCCATCAGAAAATTAGGAAAAATCTTCGGTGGCTGCCGGTCTGGCCAGTATGCGATTTCCCCTATACCGCGGATACGGAAACCCATCAGAAAATTAGGAAAAACCTTGGGTGGCTGCCGGTCTGCCCAGGATGCGATTTCCTTTAAACCGCGGATACGGAAACCCATCGGAAAATTAGGAAAAATCTTGGGTGGCTGCCGGTCTGCCCAGTATGCGATTTCCCCTATACCGCGGATACGGAAACCCATCGGAAAATTAGGAAAATCTTGGGTGGCTGCCGGTCTGCCCAGGATGTGATTTCCTTTAAACCGCGGATACGGAAACCCATCGGAAAATTAAGAAAAAATCTTGGGTGCTTTCTTTGTCTTGCCAGGGCTCCAGACTCTCCTTGGTGAGTCTGATTGGTCTTTGCCTCCTGGCAAAGACCCCTAAATTTTTGCTCGATGTCACTTTCAGTGTTTCCAGAGAGGTTTTCTTTTTTTTGGCCAACCAATCAAAAGATGTTTTGCCACAACCTGATAGGCAAATTCCACACCAATGGAGAGAGTAAGAAACACTGGGGTGCCTGTGGTGGAGTACTTAATGTCAGGGGAAAATCTTTACCTATGGGAAAGGCAATGGGAAAATTCCACACCAATGGAGAGAGTAAGAAACCCTGGGGTGCCTGTGGTGGAGGACTTAATGGCAGGGGAAAACCTTTACCTACGGGAAAGGCAATTGGCAGATTCCACACCAATGGAGAGAGTAAGGAACACTGGGGTGCCTGTGGTGGAGGACTTAATGTCAGGGGAAAACCTTTACCTACGGGAAAGGCAATGGGCAAATTCCACACCAATGGAGAGAGTAAGGAACACTGGGGTGCCTGTGGTGGAGGACTTAATGTCAGGGGAAAACCTTTACCTACGGGAAAGGCAATGGGCAAATTCCACACCAATGGAGAGAGTAAGGAACACTGGGGTGCCTGTGGTGGAGGACTTAATGTCAGGGGAAAACCTTTACCTACGGGAAAGGCAATGGGCAAATTCCACACCAATGGAGAGAGTAAGGAACACTGGGGTGCCTGTGGTGGAGGACTTAATGTCAGGGGAAAACCTTTCCCTTTACCTATAGGAGAAGCGATGGGCAAATTCCACACCAATGGAGAGAGCAAGGAATACTGGGGTACCTGTGGTGGAGGATTTAATGTCAGAGGGAAACCTTGAGGCAATGGTCAAATTCAACACCAGTGGAGAGAGTAAGAAACACTGGGGTGCCTGTGGTGGAGGACTTAATGTCAGGGGAAAACCTTTACCTACGGGAAAGGCAATGGGCAAATTCCACACCAATGGAGAGAGTAAGGAACACTGGGGTGCCTGTGGTGGAGGACTTAATGTCAGGGGAAAACCTTTACCTACGGGAAAGGCAATGGGCAAATTCCACACCAATGGAGAGAGTAAGGAACACTGGGGTGCCTGTGGTGGAGGACTTAATGTCAGGGGAAAACCTTTACCTACGGGAAAGGCAATGGGCAAATTCCACACCAATGGAGAGAGTAAGGAACACTGGGGTGCCTGTGGTGGAGGACTTAATGTCAGGGGAAAACCTTTACCTACAGGAAAGGCAATGGGCAAATTCCACACCAATGGAGAGAGTAAGGAACACTGGGGTGCCTGTGGTGGA